CTCGGTTGGAAATTTCATTATAATACCCACAGAAACCCCCGTCTTTAGTTTCCCCCCGAAATGCCAAGGTGTGGTCCTGTGGGCTCCTGAGAAATTGATTGTTGTCTCTGCTCAGCGAGACGACGGAGCTCCGCAGACCGCAGAGAACGAACCTCACCCATTAGTGTTTCCAATCTTGAACTTCCCTTGGAATTCTCTTTGGCCGACAAAGTTGATTAATGGCTCACACACACTCGCACAATTGGCCTTTTGTTAATGGCTGCACGAGAGTAATTTGAGAAAATGGTGGCTGATGCTGTTGCCATGATCCCGGAGGAAAGTCTTTTGTCACCGACAGGTTTTTATTTCCTCCATTGTTGGGCCCTTTCAAGTTTGTTCTTTTCACAACTATTACATACGAAGCTCTGGAGGAGCAACTCCAATTACCTGAATTGCTTCATTAGGAAAGGGAGAGAGGGAAAAGGGAGCGGAAGGATTCCCACAAAAGCCAACAACTGGAATAACGAGTTCCTTGAGGGGAGGATTCAAATAACACAATAGGTGCAGCATTTTCTATACTCCCTAAGTGAAATCAAGGAAAATTTCTTTCGAATTGTAGCTGAACAACGTAAAAGATGTGCCCATAAATTTAAGAAAACCATACAAATTACAATTTATAAAAACTGAAAATTATAATTTGAAATGGGTTAAGATAAAAACTCAATTTTATTATTATTAAACCAATTGCCTGCTCATTATAAAACTGGTTTCAGATAGGAAAACTGCCTTGCCTAAATGCTCTACTACAAATGCAATTACCTCGTTACCACTCGCATTACCCAATGATTATGGCGCATCAAATAAGCTGAGTGCATCATAAACACTCTAATCTCAGCAATTAATCAGAAGAAATAATAAATTTAGCCGCAAGAATCGCACAAAAGAGTGCACTAACCGACACCGCCACCGACTTGTTTAATTCTGTGATTAAATTAATATTAACTACTCTCTGTCTTCAAATTTATCGCAACAGGAAAGTCTGGGGAAATGGTCGCAGTCACGCATTGCACGCGATGCGGAAAATGGAAAACTGCGAAAATGTCGCACGCCAGAGCCAAGTTCTAAATAAAACTTTGTGTAAATTAAATATTTAAGTTAATGGAAATGGCAAAAGTTTGCCTAGTGATGGTTTTGTTTGTTCCCACATATGTGCACAGAGAAAAACTATATATACCTAAAGAGGCAATACAAAATTAAATATGGTAGAGAAAATAATTTAAAGGGGACAATTGTATGAGTAATACATTTAATAAAACTAAAAAATAATTAATAAAATATAAATCTATTAACTTCATTTGATTTTTGAACCTATTTTTCTGGCTGTGTGGAATTTTAGGGGGAATAAACTTTGATTAAGCGTCGGCGATGGGCGGAATGGAGTCGGCAATCGTCTGTGGAACGTGTGCGCTTTTAATTTGATTTTGTCTGGGCCAAATTTACATGTCTGCTGGCCCATTCCAAACGCCGAAAATCCGCGCCAGTCTGGCTGCCATTTTGTCCTTGTCTGTGGTTCTGTCGGCCTGTCGTCCGTGGTCCCCCGCGCCGGATCCTTGTAATCCAAACCCCTTTGCCAATTTGCGCCACTTGGGCATTAAAACCGCAGATTAACAGCCGCACGGGGTAGTTAAAAAAAGCAGCAGCAACAACAACACTCGGAGAAACGTGTCATTTCGAATTTTCCGCCGCCGCAGGGCGAAATGAAAAAACCGAAAAAAAATACTACAACGACACAAAACGTGCCGATAACACGGTGTCGCACACTCTACCCCCTCACCCCTTCTGATCAGAGGGAGATAGCTGTGTAGAAAGAGAGAAAGAGCAAATGTAAATACAGCAACACCAAATAAAAAAAGAGGAAAACAGAAAACACAGGGAATCGGAAATTAAACAAAACCGAAACGAAATGGAATTCGCTTATCGCGCCTCATAAATTAACCCTTGCCAGCCGTCGTCCATGTTTCGAGCGAGATAGCAGCACAGATGCAGACAGAGAGGGATGCTGAGTGGGTGGGTGGGGGTGGTGAGGGATCTTAACCCCAGTGGGATCAACGTTTATCTGCGAGATGGCGGATCTTCGCGCCCCCAGGAACCCCTGCCAATGACATTGATCGCCGCCACAATTGAATTCAAACATTGATATTGCATTGATTCCAACCGAGACGAGTTCAAATCGAAAGACAGTGATTTGAATTGCGACAGAGATGGCCAAACAGGCGATGAAAGAGAGGGCCATAGAGATAGATCGGCCTTTGTGACAATAATTCAATTACCCGGCGGGCGAGCTTATCGCGAGCCGCAATTATGGCTTGTAAAATTAATAAAAATAATATATTTTATTATTCCATTCGCGCCGTTATCGCTGTGCGGGAAATGCGAATAAATCATGCCATGAAGATAGATAGTCACTTTGTCGACTTCGAAAAGAATTAAGTGATTTGTTTTATAAAATAGCCAGGCCATTAATTGTAATGGTGGCAAAAAATCTTGAGAAGAAAATTAACATTTTACATTATTTTTCATTAGAAACTGAATTATTTAATCGTTTTTCGCTAAAATTAATTTATTAAGCTTTAAGAGACTTGGAAAAATATTTGTGTTTGTATTATTGAAAGCTTGCATATTTAAAGAAATATATTCAGCAATTCTTGACATATATTCGTTGAATAAAATATGAAGACGTAAAAACAATTAAAATTTAACATAAATTGTCTGTAACTACGTTTTTATGGCTTCTGTTTAACTAATTATTAGCTGTTATTACTTATGTAGCTACATTTTTTAGTCATTAATTATCAGCGCAGATTTAGAATAACTTTCTTTACATTAGTGCATAAATGATAAACACTGTTTATTAAAATGACTTAATGACAGTTCCTTAACTTTCCATCTAAATTAAACTGCACTGATCTGCTAAAAAAAATGTTAGCTAAGAAAAGCAATTTTCTTGAGTGATCTCGCGATTGCAACCTTAAACCAAAACAAAAAACCACCACAGCAATCTATGCAGATTGGCAACTGAAACTCGGTGAGTTAATTACTTGTCAAACAGCGGCTGTTAGTGCTGTAAATTGCCCGAATGACTCCGCTCAACGCCAACGCCAGTGATTTATTTACAAAACAAACACCAGAGGATCGCCAGTGGAAAAAGGGGAGCCCGGGGGCTTGAACCCGCTCGAATATCAAACGATCTGTGACGCCCAAAGCTGAGCCGTGGCACGTACTTCTGCGGCAGGGAACTGCGGCACGAACGCTCCGATTTCACTCCAGTCCCAAAGACCAAATACCAAATACCAGAGACCAGAGGACCAGCAGGCCTCCAGACCAGAAAACCAGACTATTGGGACATTGGCCGCAATGTTTGCCCAGTGGTCGAGCGCAATTAAACGTATCGCAATTACATGCCACACCAAAAACAAGGGGTAGGTTGTTAATGTCACTGTGGGTACCACTGTGCGTATGCGCAATGTATACACTTAAATGGTTGAATTCATTTCCTAATCGATAAAACATCACTGAGATTTTTAATGGCGATTACGCAGGCTCGGAATGTAGGGTTTAATGTAGTGCTCTCGAAATTCATATCCATAAATATATATGATCTAATTTGCCTTATCAATGTTTCATTTTTCATTTTATTATTGACTATTGATTGAGATTGGGTTAGTTATAAAAGTAATAATGGGTTAAATTAGATGATTCATTCTAGTCAAAAAAATGTTTAAAACTAAATCCGATTGAAATATATATAATTTAAAAATATATAAATCTTAAATGTTTTTAAGACAGCTAGTTTTGTACCCTTATCCATTATTTCTTACAACAATGCAACGCTTTGTTCAATTAGACATTACAGTCAAAAACTAATTGTAAATTGCTTTTCGAAATTGTGGGACCCACTATAATCACGGAAATAAACTAGACAGTGAATTAATAAACACACTACTGTTCCCGATTGTTATTCGACTACATGCCTAATTCATACCCCAACTAATGGAAGGCGCCATTAACTCAAGTGAAATGTGAATGGGCATATAGATGGGATTGGAATCGGGAATGTGAATGCCGATTAATGACCGGCTATTGTAACCCGCAATTGACAGTGGCTACTCGTGTTTGCGGCTGCCCTTGTCGTTTGTCGAACTAATTAAACGCGGTGGTGATTCGCCAAACAATCAACGCCATTATCGGGCCCATAAAACGGGGATCGTTCGGTAGTGGCCACAACTTCACGATCGTTATGCACGGCACAAGACCATGCGTAAAATCGTAAATAGATCATAAAACGCCCATAAAAAGCCGTTTAACGAGGCCCAGAACAACGGGCCCATCGCAGATCGGCGATCGCACAAATCGATCAATCGAGTCCAGCTTTGAGTGAGTTTTATTTGTCTGACACCGTCGAGTCCGACTCCTAAAATATTCGGCCAATTGTTATGGACAACGGCAGCTTGAATTTTGGGGGGCCCCAACAATGAGGATGGTGATTTACGATCTTGGACGAGTACTTGACCGGCATGGTTGAGTTACCGGTGCAACTTTCACAGAGTTCGCTAAATTAGCATAGAGAGCGAGCAGTTGCCGGATGTCTAAACCTTTCGCAGACCATTGTCCGCCCTCGGATATTTGCCAGAAAATGACTCCGATAAACAAAGAAATTGGGCAATGAATAGGACAGGGAAACGGGACAAAGGATGAGGGATTTATGACAGGACAGCGGGAGTCTTGTGACGAATGAGTGCGGCAGATTGCAGGCTGCATTTCGAATTCCGCAGAGAAGGGTTCTTCGGCGGGTGAAAGTCGCCGGGGCCGGCAGGTAAATCATATTTTTCAAGGCCATTCGGCAGGCAGTAAAAAACGGCTGCTTTCCGTCATATTCCACGGCTGGTTAGACCGATAACCCATTGGCTCAATGCCAGTCGGGATATTAACTTCAAGGGTTTCCGGTTAATTGCGGTACTTACCGTTGAAATCGCCGCAAACGACACGCTCGAAGGGACTTCCCATCCAGTCTGAAATGGCAGAGAGAGAGGAAAACAATTAACTTTTGGTTTTTCATGCAGTTTTTCTTAGTTGCTAAGGAGTTGTGCTCTGCTCCCCATATGCTGAGCTGCTAATGCGAAATTCCGCGCCAACAGCCTTGAGCGCATCACCCCGCTGAGTAATGGAGCGACGATCCCTCAAATCATGTCCCCTGCTGCCCCCTCGTCCATTCGTGCCACATGGCAGCTTTCATAAACCACTCAATCGGGTCGTTTTCAATTTAGTTGTCAGCGCCAGCCACAAAAAGCAGAATTAGCCGGGCCACTGCAGCCAGCGGACCACCGGCCGAGTGAACCTCTGGCCAGTTGAACCGGCTCCGCTTAAAGTAGACCACGATGGTCCAAATGGAGGAGGAGATGGCGGAGATATGGCAGGAGATATGGAGACGATGCGGAGGGGACGACTGCGGGCAACGACCAGACCGACTCCTCCTAATTAATAAGCAGATGAAGCTGCTCGGCATCGTTGGCGCATTTTTAATTAAAATACACAAATTTCTGTGCATTCGCCTGTCGTTGTTGCCACTTTATTTGACACACGGACGGACGGACAGACGGACGGGCCATATCTAATATGTACAAGATTCTACAGGCCGAGTCTTCTTTGTCGCATTGATGATTGCACAATTTATGGGCCAGACTTTTCTTATCTGGCCAAGGCAGTGTTCAGTCTACACATAGACAAACTAACAGACATAAACAAACTTCTTAGAAAAGATTACAATAATTCTTATATAATAACAAGAAAGAAAGCTAACTTCGGGCGGAGCCGAAGTTGATATACCCTTGCAGAATATTCTGTAAATTATATTCTCCAAGACCGGATCGGTTATTCATATGATGCGTTCTTAATACTCATAAAAAATCCCAACTTCCTAACTTTAAAAACACCAAAGTTATGTCATTTCCAATCGTTCAGTTATATGGCAGCCATAAGATATAGTCGGCCGATCCTTATGAAATTTGGTAGGTTGGATTGATTGGCCAAAAATAAAACCCATAGAAAATCCCAACTTCCGATCAATCAGTTATATGGCGGCTATAGGATATAGTCGTCCGATCCTTATGAAATTTGGTAGGTCGGATTGATTAGCCTAAAATAAAACCCATAGAAAATCCCAACTTCCTAACTTTAAAAACACCAAAGTTATGGCATTTCCGATCGTTCAGTTATATGGCAGCTATATGATATAGTGGCCCGATCCGGCTCGTTCCGACTTATATACTACCTGCAATAGAAAGACAACTTTTGGGAAAGTTTCAAGCAGATAGCTTTAAAACTGAGGGACTAGTTTGCGTAGAAACGGACGGACAGACGGACAGACGGACAGACGGACGGACAGACGGACATGGCTAGATCGACTCTCCTGGTGATGCTGATCAAGAATATATATACTTTATAGGGTCGGAAATGTCTCCTTCACTGCGTTGCAAACTTTTGACTGAAATTATAATACCCTCTGCAAGGGTATAAAAATAACACTCCCTTTATGAAATTAGAATCGAAAATGGCAATATATAACCAAAAACTACTACAAATGTACTTGCACATTCTCAATTTCACTATTTATTAAAAACTTATACATTTTTAAATGCATTATTTTTTGAAAGGATTTGATTTTTATCTTTTAACAAAAATAATATGGAAGGATGTTTTTATATAATTCCTAATAAATTGAATTTTTAACTCAGATGAATAGGTAATGAATATTTTAATTTTTATTTCAAAACCTAAAATTTAATCTATTTTCCCGCCAGTGTACTCTTCCCCCTTTTCTTATCCATCTTTTCATTTTCTCCCACAGCACGTGCTGAGTGTGCGAATTCGCAGAGTGAAAGACGTTGGGAAAAGCTTTTGCCATTTTCATGCTTTGTCGGACTGCGCTTTTCCAGATAATTAAGAAAAGTTAACCTCTTTGCTTTCTTATCAGCATAATCAGGTGCAGGCGCGCCGTTCCACCCATTTTCCGACTTTTCCCCTACTGCACTCCTCGGCAACATTGTTGATGTTGCTGCCGGAGTCGGTGCAACGATGTGAAAATGAAAATTCATTCAGACGCTTTGGCGTAAAATATTAAAATTCATTAGTTAAATTGCATTTGGCAAGCATTCAGCTGTAAAACGTTGCCGTTGTTGCAGCAATGGTTGTTGCTGTTGCTGTTGCAGTTGTTGATGTTGCTGGTGCGTCCGGGTCTGGGTCTTGGTCTTCGTCTCGGAGTTTTTGGGTGGGTTCGCAGGCTTGGCAAAGTGAAAGCCAAACGAACCGACTTTTCCGGTGAAGGAGGATGAGGTGCAGTGGGACGATTCTTGTGCGATTCACATGCAACTGCCTGGCTATAGTGCTGCTTACATATATATATATATATATGTACATATATATGGACAAGTTTATGTACAGCATGTGCATTTGAGGGGGGAGGGCCAAAGGGAGGGGCTGCGTCGACGTGTCGCGCACTTGGCTGCCATAATGGCGTCATGCTCGTATTTACTTTCATCGCCGCCAGTCGCGTCTCTATGATCTCGTTGACAATTTTATCGCCTTGGCGCTGTGAGCAGAAGATATGCAAAATATTTCATTGTGCGAAATACCGTTTATCTTCCCAACCGGCCGATGCGGCGGGTTTTTTTATTATTTTCTTTTTACGCGCCAACAGGTTTGGCCTGCAGAATGTGTGTATCTATTTGCTTGTCGGTCAAATGGGTGTGTTAGCCACATAAGTTTTCATAATTTTTCGGTTCTCACCGAGCGAGAGGCCTCACCAAAATAGTTAAATTGATTTTTAATCTGCATAGATTAATAAGAGCGCTGGTTATCGATTTACCGACACCCAAATCTGGCTAATATGTAAATTATAAAGCAAATCAAGCTGGTGTTCATCGGTTTTTATTTCACTTGTAAAATATCTTCACGATGGAATCTTTTTTCTGATTATCTTTTATACAAGAAATATTCTTGATGTTTATTTTGTTTGAAAACCATGTTTTAATAATGTGTTAATAATATTTAATGTGTTCCATAAATATTTAAAACTGATATTTATTTTGTGTTGTCAATATACAATTTCTAAGGGACTTTCATACACTTTCCACCTTGTTTTCTGATATGAATTCCATTATTTGAGGTCTGTCTGCTAGACCATCAATTGATAATTACTTATACTGTTTAATTAACATGCCTAAGTCGTAAATTCAAATGAAATCCCAGTGATTCCGAGTAAATCCATCGGGCGATCTTTTCTCTATTACGGCGACCGATGTGCAGTCTATAACTCAGGCCAATTGACAGTCTATTCATATGGTGTCCGCCATTAATCAGGAGGCATTCAACCCGCGGGGCAGCAAGGAAAACTGAATTCGTTCAATTTCTTGTGCACTGTGGAAATCGAGTGGCTGGCTGAGAAATAATAAATAAATCTGGTGTGCAAAAATGCGCGGAAAAGGCGAGCGGATCGCGTAAATTAAACTGACCCACATAAATTTGAAGCGAGTTCGCTCGTACTACGTTAGCCGCATAAAAAGAGCGGCGGCCGAAAAGTATCTGTATCTGTATCTCTGGGTATCTGGATTTTGTATGCGCGGGGCACATCCAGTGGATTTTTTTGTTTTTGGGCTCTATGTGTCGGTGTGGGGCAACCTTGAGGCTATTTAAATTACAAATCGACGCGCCAAACAACACGACAGACAAGAGAAGCATTTTTCAAACTATTTTAATTTTTATTTACTGCCAACTTTTTAGCTCTTCGTTCATTTCGTTTTCGGATTCGAATCGCGCTGGAAGACTTATGCGAAATAAACGACTTGGAAGTGCCCCGCAAAGTGTTCATTATGGATTGGAATTGGAGGCGGAATGGCGGTGGAAATGGGAATGCTATTGGAAATGTTTGCGCCACGTTAATCTAATGTTTATATCAGCGGGCCAAGATAACCATTCACTACACTTAAAACAAAAAAATATCGAATAGCTCAAAAAACTATAACAATATATTACCAATATAAATGTATTAAATAGAACCAATTATGGCTTTGTGAAATATGAATAAGTTTATGTTTTCTAATAAATTTAAAAATGAATAAAATGGAATCTTTTACATAAAACTTGAAAATTAAATTGTATTCAAAATAAGTTAAACATATATTCCATATGGTTGTTTTGGGTTCTTTATTTGTATCCCTTTCAGTGTAAGTGGCCATGATTTATATGTACACAAAATTTTAAGAGATTGTTAGTAGATTGTGTTCTTGATTTTGGACGAAATACAGTTTTCTAAGTGCATGGATTTATATCTGATTTAAAATGATTGACATGATTTACTTATCGAAAAAGAGAATAAATACACTTTTGATTTAATATGCAATTCGTATACTTCAGTGTAATAAAAATATGTGCGGTTGGGAAAGATGTTAAGTGATTCTTGACCTAAGAAGACTTTCTTTCTTTAATGGATATGCTTTGAAGATCGTTAGTTAATCATATTATTTGGTTTGCTATAAAAGAATTTGAATTTCAAATGGTTTCATTTTTTAAATAATAAATAATAAACCATTTGTGGTTAAACCAAATAAAACTTGTCATTTAAAAGCGACAGATCATGAAGAGTAGAAAATGCCTCCTAGGAAACCAACAAATTTATTAAAGGTGATTGCTTTCATGTGCAAGACCCATGACACGTCAGTATCTACTATATATTGAATTTCATTTGGAATTTCTGAATTGGGATGCTGTTTTTTCCACCCGTTCGTATGTATTTAAATCCCCAAGATCACCTCAGCGATCCGTGACTCACCTGTAAGTGTCATCCAGGGATACCGTGGCAGATCGGCGATGCCGGCTCCGCCCGCTCCCCCTGCCCCCGGCATCACGCCGGAGGCGGGCTGTGTGCAGGCGTTGCCCAGCGAGTCCACTCCGATCGCTCCGGCACTGGCCGCGGATACCGCCGAAGCGGCGGCGGTGGCATGCTGATAGAACTGCGCGAACTGCGCGGAGGCCGAGGCAGGTACGCTCATCGACTGGTAGCTGTTCATCACGGTGTCCGTGTACCTGCTGCAGGAGGGAAAATAAAGAGAGAGAGAGAGATGATTAGCATGGGAACGAGCTGGTGATCCCTACTCCTAGCACCACTGCCACTCCCACTCCGACTGCCTTCCAAAAGTCAAATGCTAATGAGCTGCCTGAAGCCGGACCATTTGCATTCCCCCTTTTGACTGCGGTCGCCTCTAATTGCACACTAATCCCAAACACGCCCACGCACAGCAGGGTTCACTGTAGCTGGAGTGGCCACAGTGGTACTAATATGCAAATGGCCGCAGCGGAAGGTCAGCGTGCGTGCGAATCTCGTGTCCGGCTACAAATTGCCAGTGGCCACCGCAGGCTGCTCTAATTTTCCCTCTTTATGGCCGTTCAATATGAATGGCCGGTGGCCGAGGGCGAAGTGTCCAGGGTCCCAGGACCCGGGGTCCGATAATTAGAGCGCATTCGAAACGGATTTGCGGTTTTGCGGTATTTGCAGATTTTATTGAAGGTTTCGACAGGCATTTCCGCTCGCCAAATTGAGAACATGAGAAACGAATTCTTGGAAACTGACTGAATGCACCTTTTTTTGATAATTAAAAAAGATTCTTCTCTTGATATAACGTATTTAGTATTACTGAGTGGTCATAATATGAAATATATCATTTTTTATACCCCTTACAAGGATAGAAAGAACGCTATTCACAGACAAAAAAATAACATTTAGAACAGTTGAAGAATTTTTTAAGTGGTCTTGATATATACTTTTTGAAAGACATATTTGCCGCACGATAAAAAATAAAATAATCTTCGACTTAGGGAGGTTCGAGATATATTTACTATAGAAATTATACAAATTAATATAGTAAATTTAGCTGGATGAATTAAGAATGTCACTAATGAAGTGCATTTGAAATGGACCCCAAGTATTATTTAAAAAAAATATTTACACCTAATTTCGTTGGAAATGGAAGTGGTAGGTGGTATGGCTCATATTCTTGGGAACAACCTCCAATATGCACTTTTACTAACCTGCACGACTTGTCCTCCAGTCCGGTGAACCCGGCCATTCCGGAGAGTCCTCCGTGGCTGCTCGGGTGATTCGACACGTACGGATACATCTTGCTGGTGGGGATGGCAAACGAGGAGCTGGCCGCAGCGGCGGCGGCGGCGGCAGCGGCTGCAACGGAGCTGGCCGCGGATGCGGATGCGGATGCGGATGCGGAGCCCGGCGAGTTGTCGTTGAGGCTGCGGTGCAGCGACGAGCTACCGGATGCCGAAGGCGACGGGGAGCAGCTACTGTCGCCCGCTTGCGAGTTGCCCGCCGACGGGGGCGTTAGCAGCAGTTGCTGGTGGGCGTGGCCGTGCGAGGCGACGGCCGCGGCGGCTAACTTGCTGATGTGGTGCTGTTGCTGCTGCAGCTGAAGGGCGGCGGACAGCGAGGAGTATTGGTGGTGCTGCTGTTGCTGGTGGTGCAGATGCTGCTGCTGCTGGTGGTTCAGGTGTTGCTGCTGCACCTGGGGGTGGTGCTGCTGGAAGGGCGACGAGGAGGAGACCGGCGAGTGGGGCGATTGGCCCAGATGTTGGCTCAAATGGCTCGGCGAAAGGGATCCTCCGCTCAAATTGAGATTGCTGCTGTTGTTGTGGTTGCTGCTGCTGCTGGGACTGTTGCTGCTGTTGTTGTTGGTGCTGCTGGTACTGGCGTTGTTGTTGCTGTGGCTGCTGCTGCTGCTTGCTGAGACGCTGGCGGAGGCAGAGGCGGCGGCGGCGGCTAGGGCGGCGGCAACTGCTGCAGATGACGAATTCGGGGGGGTGGTGGTTAGGTGGTGCGAACTGATAAACGGCTGGAACTGTGGATACTTTGGCAGCATACTATCGAAAACAAATTTTGACATTGCACATATTTTGCTCTCTGGCCGAGGATCGAATCTTCGGAATTTCGTTCACTTTTTGTTCTTTTTTCGTTTCGGAGCTTTCTTCGAGTGGTTCGAGTTATTTATCTGAGTCGTTTTGGTTAATGGCTAGATTGAGTATTTGGTTTTTAAGATTTTAAGCATTCTCTTTGTGTGGCTTTAACAAATTTGGTTTGAATTCAGCAGAGAAAAGAGCGCTTTCTACGATGAGAAGCCGAAAATTGCAGCTATTAAAATGAGCACTAGTTGAAACTTTTAAATGTGCTCTATTTGTGAAACCTTTTCAATTTTCTATTGACCTTATGCATTCGAATTTATGAACGACTGAAATTAAATCCAGAGCAACCCAGTGGTGATTACAACTTATGCAAACGGATATAAATATTTTTATTTCAGAACTGCAAAACCCTGTTATTGATCAATGTTTCTCAAGTTCTAAAAACTTACAAGATAGTTATCTCTTATTTTCTACATTAAAAAGTATTTGTGTGATATAAAATTCCCTTCATTTGCAACTCAACCATTAAATGTTTATTGCATACTCCCCTCTTGACTTAACTTTACTATATTATAATCTAATGCAAACTACAATGGAATAACTATATAAATCACGCCAAATTTATCGAATTAAAATGTACTAAAAAGAAAAATACTCTTCGCGTCAAATAAAAACGCTGCATCAAATGTGATAAACAAAAAGAAACAAGGGGAAATAAAAAATATATACTGCTTATAAAAATGGCTCGGAAAACATAAAAAGAACATTAGCCAAATTGAATATGTTTAGATTGGACATAAATCTTTCGGGTAGCGCGATACAGAACTCAAGTGGAAAATATATATAGTCCTGATATTTTATATATTTTTCAGCTAGATTTCCCTGCACAATGCCAAAGGGTTAGTATGGGAGCTAGGTTTTTTTCAAGTTAAATCCCAATATTAATATGTACTATGTGAGATGGCAAATAGTTAGTAACTTTTAGATAGATTTAGTGTGGAGATATAGTCAAGAAACTTTGCCACCTGCCCAACTTTAAGCTACTTTTCTCGATTCGGAGAAGTGAAATGCATTTCGTTACCTTTCTCGGGTTTTCTCTAGCGAACTTTTGGCGAGCAGTTTGTATTTGTTCAACTTTGCAGCTTTTCTGTTACTTTATTTTCGCTCGAAGCTGGCGAATTCACAACGAAATTTGTTAAATTTGCATATGGTCTCGGGTTGCGTTGTTGTGGCAGCTGTGGCACAAGTATGTGTGGGGTGTGTGTATCTCTTATTTGTTGTAAAAGCAATTAAAATGCGGTCATCAATTACGCGGAAATTCGAATGGACGTTGTGCCGGCGGGATTTCGTACGTGTGATTTATAGGCGCGCGATCTTTTTTAATGGCACTCTTGTATTTTTATGGCAGAGTGAGTTTCCCTGCGGCTTTTAACGACTTCTCAAGTGTGCGTGAGTGTGTGTGTGGCCGGAGAAATGCTTTCTCCTTACGCTTTGCTTTAATTACTTTGTTTAAAATGCCATAAAACACTTTGCAGGTAGAACTATCGAACTCCGGAACGAACCTTTTACGATGTCAACTTTATGGCTTTTTAATTTTTATGCACCGCACACACAGAGTTATAAACCGAGTGTTTTGACAGTTTTTTCGGTTTTTCGGATTTTTCACACAATATATATTTTTATGCGCTCTATAACAGTTAAGTGACAATAAGCCGGCGGCCGAATCGGAACAATAAACACGGCGAATCGGAAACTGAATTGTATGGTCGTATAATCCGAATCGGAATCGGAGGGCCGAGAATCGGGCAAGCCAAGAGTGGAGAGCTGAGTTCCGCAGACACTACTGCGCGCCACGATAATAAATATTATAATAAAACGAAATTTTTAAAAGAGTATAAAAATTTCGTGTAATTGGTAATTCTTGCTGCCGGCGCGGGCAGCGACGTTGGCAGAGGCAGCGACTGCGGCGGCGACGCTTGAGTCGTTGGAGACTTGAGTTTTGTCTGTCTGCGGATGGGGTTTGCTGTTTTTTGTTGTTGTATTTTTATTTTCTATTTGGTTTTTGTGTTGTTTTGGGGAGACCGCTTTACGCGCGAGAAGAGAAGCGAAAGCGAAGGCCGCTGCGAACGTCGAGCGTTGTGGCGTTACGAGCAGCGAAACGTTTATGGCGCAATACAAAAGCCATGCGAGCGTTCTTATGGGCAACTGGATGCTGAGTCTGTGACAATTCATTTCGACTCACTCACTCGCGGATATTCACTCAACGCCGACTGCGGCGGCGGCGGCAATAAGAAAGATGGCAGCGCAGCCGGATCATATGCCTGTCCCGCTCTAGCTCACCATTTACTCGAGCCCTGCGCTGCCATGCCTCTCTCTTTCTCTCTCTTTCGCATGATGGCCGCCTCGTCGTCTTGAGTGAGTTATTCCATTTGAGTGGCTTTTTAAGAGCTTGCTTTATTTCCCGGTTTATAACGTGAGAATGGCGAGCGCTGAGCGCAACTATTTGAGCCTCGCTTTGAGTGGCTCGCTTTTTAAGTGTTTTATGCTTTGTTTGGCCAAATGTTATTGTTGATCAAATTACCCTGCATTATTCATGCCGAGTGCGGCGTTTGAGTGAGTGCCTTTCGATACAAATTAGCCAAAATTTGTATTTCATTTTTTTATGGGCCCACCCCCATTGGCATTACGAAAAATCCATAAATTTGGGAGATGAAAAACGCCGACTCTGCAAAAAGTCAGCTCTGTTTCTTCGTTTTTTCGGCCGCCGCCTTTTGTCCGCCTTCTTGTCTCTCTTTTCTTTTTGTCGCTGGAATTGCTGTTATGACATTTTTATGAAAAATTTCAAATTTACGATTGAAATTGGACAACACACACAAGCATTTCTCCCACCCCCTTTTTCACTCTATGTCTATCTCTTTCCCTGGAATGTGTGCGGAAATAAAGCGAATCTGTAATTTCCTAACTTGTCCACTTATAGAACTTTGCTATCTGACTCTTTAAAGGATTTTTGAGGGGGAGAGAGGCTGTGAGCGAAATATTTCATTCAAAGTTTTACGGATTAATAAAATATATTAATTAGTAATCAGGATCAAGTTTAAGAAAAAAATGTTTAATTAATATTTTTTCTTGATTTTTTTAATATTTATTTAACATAATATATATATATACTTATATTCTTTAACTGCTTATATACTGCAACCAAATCCGCTTCGATTGACTGTACTGGAAAGAAATGATTATTTACCTGAAATAAAGGCTTAAAAAGATACCCACAGTTATGTTTTATGCAGAAAAAATAAAGCAAGTAGTTTTATAACATACAATTTAAATTTTATTAAGAATATAATTTAAATAATAAAGAAATAATACTTAGTTCATAATGACTATTAATCACAATGTATTTGCTTATACTACCAATCATACAATATAATATGTTAATTCCACCAGCTTAAATCTTCTAAAATACATTTTTTGTTGCTTCCTTAAGATTATTTTTACCGAAGAATATTTATTTGAATTTAATTTATTTTTTTATTACCTGTCAGTTTAATTGACTTCTCACCTGGCCATTCAATCAGCTAATTCTTTTATAATTGACTTTCGCGTAGTTTTACTGGCCTTGCTCAAAAGTGATTGCCAAATCTTGGGCGATAACAATTGAATAATTGATCAATCAGCGGATTGGCTAAACAATCAATTTTTGGCACACTGGCTTGTTAAATCTTTTATGGCCAAGGGTGGGCGGTGGCCAAAAGGGGAGGGGCAGAAACAGCGTTAACGGGCGGGCGAGTGCTTTAAAATTAATTGCTCATAAATTCCAAATTAAACATTTTGCCACACTTTGGTTTATGTTTATGGGTCATACGGAGAGTGCGAATGAGTGGCCAGCACCGAGTGCATTTGATCTCACTCGATCACTGGAAAAAATCGGCATGTACTTAAGATATTAACGATATTATTTTGTAAAGGCTAGAAATTTTAGCCGCTAAAATATTGTTTTTGGTAATATTCTTTGGCATTGCTTTTTTAGTCATTTAAATTATAGCTACAAATTATTTACAAATTTTTAAAGATATTTTTTTTAGTTTTTTATTGTGAGCTTAAAAAAACATTTTCTGGGATATTAAAGTAAAAGCTTTTATGGAGGTGTTTTAAAATTAGTTTATCGTTCAGATTTAGTTGCCAGCAACTATGCCGCAACAACCAGCTAATTATTAACTAGAATTTCAGAAGTGAAGTGTTATTTTTTTGTTGAGTGTACTGCCGGCCAGATACTCAGCCACTCACAGCGGGCTGTGATTTACTGCCCTTGCCCGGGGGTTATGGGATATGGACTGTAAGCTGGAGGCCCATGGCAGGTGGGCCGCCCAACGACCGGAAAAATGTAAAACGCCCATTTTGATAATCAAAACAAATAATAAAACAACTTCACACGTTAGTCTGACACAACTACTGCTGCAACAATAACAAAAACAGCAATAACGAGCCAGCGAGCCCCATTAAACGATAATAATCGTAATAAACATATAAAAATTGAAACTGGGTGAGAATGAGTAAGCAGCAGAAAGTGCAGAAAAACGTAAATAAATAAAAGAGGAGTAATTTTCAACAATAAAACACTATTTTGAGTTCCCGGGGATGAGAGTCGAGTTTCGGTTGAGTCGAGTTGCGTTGCGTTGCGTTGAGTCTGGTTTTTCTGACATCGGTGGTGGATGTGGATTGCGTGGGATTGCGTGTGATCCTCGGGACCGTTAAACAAAAGCGGAACAAACCATAAAAAAAACAGCTCTGTTGTAATCTCTCGTGTCGCAGGTTGTATCTAGAACAAAATAGGCATAACAAATGGGGAAACACTTGTAAAACAATAAAGGCAGGGAAAATGAAAGTGTATAAAAGTAAAAAAAGATAATAGTTAGACATTAATCTGTTTTTTTCTAAATTTGCAGCAGCACCATTGATTTAAAGGCATTTTTATTTTTAAATAGTGTTACAAATGTTGTACCATAAACTAAACATATTAAAATTAATTTTGGTAAGTTAAATTTAACTTATTTGAATACATTTAATCATTTCTGTATCAAACATTTTGTAATTTGTATAACATTTTTAAAGCAATATTAAAATGCTTTTTTCCTTATCATCATGATTTCTGTTAATGGATTTATTGAACTACACATATTTAAAAAAAACCCTCCTTATTTACTTAAGTTGATAGTTTTGGCTACATACCGTCTACCACAAACGAGGCTATTCCTTCATAACGATACGATGAAATATATACGACAAATTACATTGTTGTTTAATCACCTTTCTCTTACAGTCTGTCTGCTTCAGTATCTAGGCCGTAATTGCACTGTCATGCCACAATATGGCCAAAAAACTTGGAGAGACGCTACACACTTTTAGCTGCATTCGGGTCACACTTGAAAATCCATTCGTTTAATAAGCTGGCAGCCAGTTTTCCTTTCGTTGGTTCCCACAACCTCGGGAACTATTGCCGTAGCAATTGCGAGTGCAATTCGGCGCTGAGTGCGGCTCGTAAAACCCGCTAGAAGACAGGAGTAATTGCCCATAAAAAGACTGTAAAGTATTTCGGCTCAGAGGCGAGTGCAGGAGTGAGTAATGAGACCAGAATCAATTGTCACTCGCCATAAAATCAATGGCATTGAGTGAGACTCGCGCCGAGTGGAAAGTGCGGCTCTGTGGCGGTAGAAATAAAAACTCCCTGCACACCAAGTTTGTTCCCTAATTTGATACACTTTTATAGCGCCGGTTTACGGCTTGTTTGGCCGTGGTTTCCCCACCCCCGATCGTCTGACGAATGAGTTCTTCCGACGATTACTAAATGCCTTCTCACGCAATCATTTTTTAATCCCCGATGCGGTCGGGTTTATGGGTCACCCCGAATCTGGGTCTCCGTGTCATCTGCACGGCAGCGATCTCGAGTCACCTTCGAATTACTCAATAAAATTTATACGAGTGCACACCTAATGTCCGCTCATCTGCCTGGGTGTGTTTTCCTCTACTTTTATTGCGTTTTAATTGCTCTAATGATACACTGTTTTGTAAATGGCACACTCAATAAATATACATGTTGGTAATGGAAAGCATGAAAGGCCAATTTGTAGGGATTAAGTCTAAAAGGAAAAACATGAATACTTAAATTTCCACTCACCATTTTCGCAGATCATTTGTAATCTAAAAAAAAGAGATTATTTATTGTGAGTAAAAATTTTAGAAAATAATTTTAAAGGATAATAACAAAATATTACCTAAGTTAATATTTATTATTAACATCCCAATACATGCATTTTAATTCCCAAACTGTTCAAGAATAAAGAAAAGGATATAAGAACGGATAAGGAATTAACTAATACACCCGTGAAAAAAAAATCTAGATTATTTAGTCACATTACGTTTTCTGAATTTGTCACATAGAATTAAAAAAAAAAGTTTAAGACCCAAACACACATGAATAGGCGCGAGACAACTGAAAATTGGAAAATTAAAGTCTTTAAGAATGGAAGGCAGTCAGAAAATGGCATAATATGCAAAGGAAACAAAGACGAGGAACTTGCTTCTCCGCGACCCGAAAGCGAAATTCCCTGGGAAGAACCATTGAATCACCAAGAATTCAGCTGGAGAGCTCGTATTATCGTGGCAGTGAGTATAAAAGATGTAGATGTTTTGTCTTTTCAGATATAACCCTTTTTTGTTTTTTAGATAGGGCTGATAATAATTTTGGCGTCAGTATTTTCGGGACTACCCTATGAAAGTGTCAAATATTCATCCACTATAAATTATTGTGCTGTTGGTGGTGCCCTAATTTGCATGTCCATAATTAATTTAACGATGTGCTTTGACACTCAAATATTTCGAAGGTCCTCCAACAAAAACATTTTGTTGGCCTTATTTGCCGCTGCCCATTTGTGTACCCACCCATTTTAGTAAGGATGTCAGATATTCTAAAACTTAGCTTTATGTAATCCCAATATTTTTTAGCATTTCCCGTTTGCTTAACTTTTAAAGGATAATCAATAGGCAGTATGAGATGGGTGAGTATGCAATGGGTGCGTTATTCCTTGGTCACGATGCTCTAAGCCTTAGTCTCTTCGTTATTTCACTGTGTGACAGCGAAGGGAGTGATGATTATGATAATGACGATGATGATAGTTCCTCTAGTGGAGATTCTAGTGAAGATTCTAGTGAAGATTCTAGTGGAGATTCGGGCAATTGCAGTTCATGAGTGCCATTTACCTGGCTAATGAAAAACTACTAACAAAAAAGTAGTATCTATAACTTTATTAATGAGATCAAATCGTACCTTACCTTAAAATTTTAAAGGCAACATTTAATTATATATAGACGTAAGTTTATTCTTATGGAAAATTGTAATACAGGATTTAATGATCGAAATTATACAACCTTGGTATAGTTTTACAATAGTCCAATTAACAAAGAACATGAAACTATTCAAATAGATTTAAGAAATAGTTAATTGCCAAATTCTTGTAGGATATCTTTAATTTTACGTGTGTGTTAAGATTTGACAATAAAAGATTTAAGTTTTCTTACTATTCTTAACCTAATTTCTAAAGGTCTGGAAAATCGAACTTGAAATAATTTAGTCACCCCCTAATGTTTTCCTTGGCCGTGGATAACTGAATGAAATTCGACATCCCAATCGCTGTCTTTTCGTCATCGCCCGGGATGACGAGCGTGTTTTATAGGCCTCAACAAGACATTAAAACACACGCATACGCCCCGTTGGCGAGGGGTGGCTATTACGATACCTGTGGCGGTGGTTTTTCAGTTTTCCCGCTTTCCCCCAGCTGGAAAAAGTCGGAAAAGTGTGGTGCAGAGGAGGGGGGAGAAGGCGAGTGGGCCTCAGATGGTCGCTCTCGACTCTCGAAGATGGGCGATGATGGGCTCGCTGCGAAAGGAGATTTCAATATCATAAAAAATCGTATTAAGAGAATCTCATATTGGGAATCGTAAAGTTTTTACGACCGTTTAATGGACTCTTGCAGTAAGCGTGAGTATTTACGCGCTGCTTAAAACCGGTAAAATATGGCGAAGTGGTGTTGTGGGCCAACAGAAACGCAGACGCACGCACCGCGAAGGATGCGGATACATATACATTTACAGATAAAGATACGAAAATGCAGATGTTGCAGATGGAAAACTTCAATTAGAAACAAGAAACCGATTTACAGGGAAAAGTCGCTTATGGCTAGTGCACAACGGCGCCATCTATAAGCCGTTTGCTGAAACGCCCACTAACCAGTTTACGGCCGCCAAGCAGTCTAAGCAGTGCACATGCGTCCTGACTATTTTCGTCGGGGGGTGGGTCGATCAAGCAGTTCAGGAAAAGGATAAGAAAAGAAAAATTCAGCAAAGATAGAGATAGTGCAGGATTTTCGCCATGAGAAAGAGAGGTGAGATAACGATCGCTATTGCCAATAACTGGGCGTGGTTCGTGATTATGTCATTATTGGCTGAGGGACAGGCGAAGGACCTTTCGACCAGCCTATCCTTACGTGGCTTAAACAGAAAAAAAATGGGAGTGGCAAAATCAAAGCAGAGTCATGGTGGCTCAGGTTACGGAATTTTTAGTTTAGCATGTCAGTTGCGCAGACGTTTTAATAAAAGCGTGTCAAGAAGGACTTCTAATAATAAAAGGGAAATTAAGAAATTATGAACACTAGGATCACAAATAGAAAACCGTTCCATTCTATAAAACATTTGCGGTCGGGATTAAAACATGTTTAATAAATATGAATTTTTTTTCTAAAAATCTTCCCGTGGTTTTTTTAATATTTGGTAAACCAATTTAATAATACCGCGAGTTCTTCATGGGTTGGCAAAACTAAATAAATAAAAATGGTTCGGGTTTCTTAATTTCTAAAAAAAGTTTTAGGATTCACCCGGATTTACCCATATAATTATCACTTGTATAATACAAATAAGAATACCTTCGAATCCCTAACAGAGTTACTGGAAAACTTGCCATTTCTTGGCTACATCACCTTGATGGATGTCTGAGTTGATTTGATGGATAGGAAATGACCTCAGAGGTGATTGGCGAAGGAAAACAGCAGTTGGACAGCCATTACACTAATCACTATTTTCCGTATTCAAACGTAGACAGTGCAATCGATTCGATGAATCTAGTCGGTGGAAATCTCAACACAAGTCATCGGGTAAACTGGGCTCATTGGTTGCAATTCGTAGGTGCAGTCACGTAGGGCGATCTATGGCCTTTGGGCCCAAACAAATGGTGGAAGTATGGTGACAACGACCCGACGACTTTATTAGACGCGGCCATCCATCAGCCGAGTGGCAAGAGTTATGTGACTGCTGGAAAGGATTTCCTACGGTTTCCACCACTCGGATAAATCACCTGCCCAATCCCTCTTGGTGCACGGAAAAAAAAAATATGACTAAGACAAGCCTCGGTTTCTCTACTTTACATTCAGAAGTCATAAGTATTGCTTTAATAAAATTAAATTACTTGGTTTTAGCCGCTTTCAATTTAGATTAATTTTCCATCAAGGAATATCAGTTAATTCCTTAAGATCTCGCGTTTTAATTCTTTTTTCTCTGTGTACTCAGTCAAATAAATCAGAAAGTTCGAGCAGGGCGCTCGTAAAACGGATTCCGCCGAATGTTTGTTAATTATGGTTTTGCGTAACTCTCGAATTCGTTGGCCCCGGGTCAGAACCACTCGTGAGTGATTTGTATTTGGGCTCGTTAAAGTGTCCAGCGAAATGAAGTGCTGGCCAATGAGTTTCTTCTCAAATGCGGCGGCACGATCGCCGAGCATCTTCGCCCATTCCCGCAATCCCGTGGATGCATCTCCGGGAAAAGGCACGTTTTCAAACGTAATTTGCAACAATTTAAAGATTTTTGCGCCAGCTCCAATAGCCGATAGTCGAATTGGCAGAGATTGCCTCGACTGGTAATGGCCTCGTAAAAAGGGGGAGTGCCCAGGGGCGTTGGAAAAGAGGGAGTGGCGCTAATTGGGGGGAAATTGAGAAGCGGAGAATCGAAAGCGCCGCATCTGGTTGCAAAAGTTCAGCTGGCGTCTACAGAGGAAACATGAAGTTTTCGAGTAATCTTCTGGATTACAATGGAAATAGTGGACCGATTAATACGCAATATTGTACTTAGAAATTCTCAATTTTCTAGAAATGCAAATCTTTGAGAAGTTATGGTTATTTTTAATGTTTCCTTACGCACCATATTAATGTCCATTGGTCTGACTAAAACTGCTTAATCTTTACATTGGCTATGGAATTATTAGGTCAGGAAAATAAACGGATACTAGATAGTTTTAAAACATTTTCCAAGTTTTAGCTTTGAATTGGCGTTAATTAATAATTAATAATTTTTTTGCAATTATAGGCTTATTACCCGATTTTATAAAATTCTGTAGAGTAGTTTGAGTCCAATATCAAGAAAGAAAGCAAACTTCGGCAAGCCGATATATTTTGATAAATAGAAAAAAACAGCAAAATACAATTTTTATACCCTTGCAGAGGGTATTATAATTTTGGTCAAAAGTGTGCAACGCAGTGAAGGAGACATCTCCGACCCTATAAAGTATATATATTCTTGATCAGGATCACCTCCTGAGTTGATATAGCCATGTCCGTCTGTCCGTCTCTCAGTTTTAAAGCTATCGAATTGAAACTTTGCACACACCCTTCTTTCCTTTGCACGCAGTATATATGTCGGAACGGCCGGGATCGGCCGACTATAGCTGCCATATAACTGATTGATCGGAAATGTCATAACTTTGGTGTTTGTAAAGTTAGGAAGTTGGGATTTTCTATGGGTTTTATTTTTGCCCAATCAATCCGACATATCAAATTTCATAAGGATCGGCCGACTATATTCTATAGCTGCCATATAACTGAACGATTGGAAATGCCATAACTTTGGTGTTTTTAAAGTAGGGAAGTTTGGATTTTTTATGAGTATTAAGAATGCATCATATGAATAATTTTGGAGAATATAATTTACAGAGTATTCTGCAAGGGTATATCAACTTCGGCTCCGCCCGAAGTTAGCTTTCCTTTCTTGTTTATTTTAATTTTTTGATTTTCCTATGGGAGCTATATGATATAGATGTCCGATTTTAATTTAATTAAAACCGTAATTCCATAATAAAAAAACCGTAATACCAAAAAAAAAATTAAAAACAAGAAAGTTTTTTAATTTTTTTTCCTATGTTCCTATTGTTCCTATGGGAGCTTTTTGATATAGTCGTACGACATATATATCATATCATATCATATGTGGTTCCGACATATTTACTCCGGCAATAGAAAGACAACTTTTGAGAAAGTTTTAAGCAGATAGTTTTAATACTGAGGGACTAGTTTGCGTAGAATCGGAAGGACGCACGGCTAGATCGATTCTCCTGGTGATGGTGATCAAGAATATATATATGTATACTTTAAAGGGTCGGAAGTGTCTCCTTCACTGCGTTGCAAGCTTTAGACTGAAATTATAATTCCCTCTGCAAGGGTAAAAAACGATGTTATTTAGACTTGCATCAAATTGTAGACCAAATAAATAATAATAATAATAAATAAAGTACTGCTTAAAATTAATAATAATAATACTATATATGTTTATATATATAAATGTTGTTTGATTTTAAATTATCCAAACAGGGTTTTAATTATAAAACAAGGACTAGCATTGAAAGCCTAATAATATATTATTTTTTTATGGGTTTTTTAAATAAACATATGATTTGTAATTTATACAAAACAGGGTTTTAATTTGTATTAATACTATAATTAACATTTCAAAGTTACTTAGCTTCAAGGCTAAATTTAACATAACATTTAATGCAATTAAAGTAATGGAAATTCTCTACCATATCAATTAGTTTAATTCGCTGTAAAGTGCGCGGGCAAACGTTCCATAAAACATGCTCCATTACAAGGGGACTGATTGGGCGCATAAATCGAGTTAATTCCGTATAATGTGAGCATTTAGAGTGAATTGACCACCGCGACGCTAATTGCTGGTCGCAATGCGATGGCAGCGGTATTTGCATGTTTCGGCTGGGTTTCAAATTGATTCCGAATCGATTGGGATAAGTGGGCATGCATAATAGGAGGGCGGCACTCGGGGCTCCACTTATGTGTCCGGTGGGGCGAAGTCACTCAGGTGACCTTTGGCCCCGCAACGAGTCTCCGAAGAGCCACCGACAGATTCACACGAACGCTGAGTGGTTTCTGGGGGATTGGAATGGGGGTTCTGTAAACCGGATCAACCACTTCGGCGGTGCAATGGCGGAGGCAAATGGCCGTGATAAGAGCACCGCCTCTGCACCGCCATCGTTTGTTTGGCTTGTCTCAAAGACTTTTTGCTTTTCATAAATAGATTGAAATGAGCCTTTGCCGGGGCGAATTCCATTTCATCCCCTTTACTGCGCACATCTCCCTTTTGC